CTGATCATTCATTAACAATAATAGTGATATCTAAAGCAGCCTTAATTCTTCAAGATACTACATGCAACTATTTTTGCCTTTTTAAAAAAAAATGGAACTAGGTTTGGCTCAGTATGCTTACCCTTCTGCTTTCTAATTCTATGAAGTAGAGTGTAAGTTTTAATTCAGAAGATCAACTTTGTGCTGATATAAATTATGCTGTTTAGCTCATATTGTAAGTATACTTTATTGTTGTGGTTTACATTTACCCATTCAACTTCTGAGCACAGAAACAAAACTTATTGTGTGTCCTCAGGCCTGAGCTCTGGTAAATCCATGTCCTAAGAGCCCTCCCAGCCCTGACACTGTGAGGTTTTATGGCCAAAGCTATTCCCGAGATTTTAGGCTGTAGGGGCTTTTTTGAACTTAGATGTCTTTTCTTCTATCTGCCTGAATGGCTCTGACAGTCTCTCTCCCGTCTGACATACTGTGTGCTCACATCTCTGATTATCAAACAATTTCACTCCTGTGGCTCTGACCATCTCTCACTTTCTGAGTTCTGAAGTCATTCCTGAGTTTGATATCCTAGGTTAGAGGACTCCATTTAGTACAGGCCCCATCCTTTCTAAACTGTCTCCATGCTTAGACATTCTATATCGGGAACACTTTCTCAAGTCTTATATTCAGGCTTCTATGTGGACCCCCAGTTCTGATATTCAGAGCCTGGAATGCCATCCTAGCCCTGAAATACTCCATTCTAACCTCTATTCTTTCTCCACTGTTCTCTTGGAAGGCACCTCCAAGTCAGATATCATAGTTTCTTAATTATTTTATGTTCAAAAGCTTGTCCTTTGATATTCTACAGTTTTTTTTTCCTTTTCACTTATATGATTAGTTTTAGTATATTAAATGTGTATTAGTAATACAACTATTTAAGACCACAGATTGCTTCCCTTGGGAATCCTGAGTACTTACCTTTTTTCTTTTCAATAAATTTGGCCCATTCATTAACAATAATTGTACTTTCTACAGCAGCCTTACTCCCTTTAACGCACTGCATGCTTTTACTTTGTCAGTTACTTTGTTTTTCATTTCATTGTTTTCCTTTTAATCCAGTTTAGGCATTTTATATTAAAATTTCTCCTTTGTATGATTCAGGATGTGAGTTTTAATTCAGAGGATCACCATTGTGCTTATAGATATCATATTGAAATGTGTTGCATTTCATACCATAAACATACTTTTGAATGTTTTCTAAATTTACTTTTTCTTCTCCATAATTTGGAGAAGATTCCTTCCCAGCAATGATACTGTGTGTTCTCTGGATGATCATCAGAGCTCTGATAATCTACATTCTAAGAGCTTTTGGAGCTCTGATAGGCCATCTTTTTAAGTGCCTTCCCAGTTCTGCCATTCCCTTCTTTCTGGATTCTCCTGAGCCTCAAGTACTATGTACCCAGATTGTACTGAATAAGACAATTTTTTTCTGGCTATTATCTCCCAAATTATGTCTTTTTAGGTCTCTTACTCCTCTGACATTAAGGGTAGGAGGGCCCCATCCAATTCAAGCACTCATAATATTAAATTGCCTCTAAGCTCAGTCATTCTAGTCTATTCTATAGGCCTTCTCAGGTATGATATTCTAGCTTCTGAGCCTGGCCTGTCATCTCAGTGCAAAAATTCTCCATTCTAATCTCTATCCAGCCTCCAATACATTTTCTTACAATGTCTCTCCAAATCAGACAATCTAATGTTCTAAAGACTCATTTTTATGTCCTAAGTCCCCTTACTGTGGTGATAGTTAAGGTTCCTCCTCCCTTTTCACTTATTTATTCAGTTTTAGTATACTGTATTATATATTTGTCTTAGCAATACAATTATTTAAAATCACAAATGGTGTTCCTTTAAAAACTGGGCACTTAAGACGTTACTGGTTTCAGTTAAACATTCCCTCATTTATTACCAATATCAACAGAATATCTGTAGCACCCTTACCTGATTAAGGCAGTGCATGGAATTAAAGTTTTTTAAAAAAATTATTCTGTGTTTTAAGGACGCTAAGGTAATAAATATGTTTTACCTTTCCTTATTGGCTGTGTTTCAGGACCTGACTTTGAAACCAAAGCATCAGTATTGTGCTGATGTCATATTGAAACTTACTCTGCATGTCAAACCTTAAATATCCTTTCTTATTGTTTTTAACTTTTACCTGTCCCTCCCCATAAAAGTGAACTTTAAGCAATGATACTGTGTGTTCTCAAGACCATCTGAGCTCTATCAGAGCTCTGTTCTAAGTTTCCTTAGCTCTGACACTCTGATGTTTTAAAGCCACTCCTACTCCTTACATTGTATGTTCTAAGGGCTGTCCTGGCTCTGATATCCTTTTTTCTAAGTTTTCTGACTGCTCTGATACTCTCTTCTCTCTAGCTTCTCCCAGATCTGATGTTCTGGGTACCTACATCCTACGGAATTAGACAATTTCTGTTTTCTAGCTCTGATTTCTATCACTTTCTATGATCTAAGGTTCTCCTACCTTTGACATTCCAGGTACCAGGGTCCCTTCTAGTTTAGGCCCTCTTGATTCCAAATTTCCTCTAAGTTCATTAATTTAATGACATTCTATGTTCTACATATTCTGAGTTCTTATATTCTGGCTTCCTTGTCAACTACCAGTTTTGTCATTCAGATCCTGTACTTTATTTTTTCAGTAAACACTGACCATTAACAGTAATACTGATATCCACTGCAGCCTTAACCCTCGAAGATACTGCATGCAATTACTGTGCTTTCAATTATTTTTTCTTTTAATTGGAGCAAGATTAGGCATTGTATGATCACCTTTACTTTGTGACTTACAGGACACGAATTTTAATTCAGGGTATCACCACTGTGCTGATATTAAATTATATTGAAATATATATTATACTATATACCATAAACATACTCTTACTATTTTAAAATTTTTCCTGTCCTTCTCCATGACTTGGACCTCTGAGCGCACTGAGAAGACCCCTTACCAGCAATGATACTGTGTTCTGAGGACCTTCTCAGCTCTGACACTCTCAATTTTTAAAGAGACTTCTAATCTTGACATTCTATGTTCTAAAGGCTTTCCTAGTACCTAATCTAACATTTATATAGCGCCTACCAACTGCTTTACAAACAGCTCTGATATTCCCTTTTTTATGGCTTCTCCCAGGACTGACATTCCATATGCTCACATCCCATGGAATCAGACAAGTTCCCTTTTCAAGCTGAACATCTCACAGTTTCTGTGTTCTAAGGTTTCTCCTAGTTTTACTATTCTAGCTTTCAGGGCACTATTCATATTAGGCATTCTTGATCTTAAGTTCCCCCCAAGTTCAGACATTCTATATCCTACCTGCCCTCCCAGGTCTGAAATTTTATATTCTAAGCTCTTTCTAAACAATATATTCTCCTGAAATGCTCTTCCATATCTGACATTTTATGTCCTAAAGACTCTCCCAGCTCTGTCTTTTATGTTCAGAGACTCCTCATTCCTGTGATATCCAAGGTTTTTTTTTACTTATTTATTCTATTTTATTATATAGCAAATTACACACATCTTAGCAATACAATGATTTAAAATCACAAATGGTGTCCCATTTTTCTAAGTGGGTTTTTACTAAAACAGCTTGTTTCAATAAAACAGTCCTCATTCATTACCAATTAAAGCAGTATGAATTGTAATCTTACCAGAATACCTTTTTTCATGGAGTTAGTTTGACAGGTTTTTTTTTGTTTGTTTTGAGTCAGCTAAGGCAATATATATTTTAACTATCCAATTTGTTTGTGTTTCGAGAACAGTTTTAATTCGGAGCATGGCCATTGTTCTTTTATAAATTACACTGAAACATGTGCTGTATCTCATACTAAAATAGCCTTAGTTGTTGTTTTTGACAATGTTTGACAACTCTCCCTCCTCAAAGTTTAGAACCCTAAGCACATAAGTAAAACTCTTTGCCAGTGATCATCACTAAGAGCCCTCTCAGTTCTGAATGGCTGATATAGCCAAAACTAGTCCTGAAATTGTATGTTCTAGGGTCCTTCCTAGACAGGTGTCCCTTGTTATTAATGCCAGATCTGACAATTTTTGTTTTCTAGCTCTGATCATCTCTCACTTTTTTTGTCCTAAAGTCCTTCACAGATTTGATGTTCTAGGTTCCAGAGTCCAATCCAGCTCAGGGACTTTTGATTCTAACTTGCCTTCAAGTTCATTCATTTTATGATAGTTAATGTTCAACATATTTTTCAAGGTCTGATATTGTCTTCCATGTTTTGACATTTGGAGCCTAGACTTTTGTCCCGCAGTGAAATATTCTGTTCTAAGCTCTCTCTAACCTCCAATATATGTTCTTGCAATGTGCCTCCAAGTAAAAAACTGTGTTCTATAAATCCTCCCAGCCCTGTGATTTTATTTTCAAAGACCCTCCCTTCTCAGATATCCTAGGGTCTTTTTTCTTTTTCACTTATTTATCTAATTATATCTTAGCAATATAATTCTTTAAAATCACAATTGTTTCCCTTTTCAATATCGTGTACTTACCTTATTTTTTCAATAAATACAGCCCTTTCATTAACAGTAACAGTAATATTTACAGCGACCTTTAGCCTTCAAGATACTGCATGCAATTACTTTTTTGTTTTTTTTTTTTCTTTTCTTTGTTGTCTTTTGGAGTCAGATTAGGCACTGTATGGTCACCTTTCCACTTTGGTTTTGTGATTCAGTATGTGAATTCTAATTCAGAGCATTATCATGAAACATATGTTACACCTTGCACCCTAAATATAATTTTTAAAAAATACCTGTCCTTCCCCCAGAGCATATAAACCAAACTATTTGCCAGCAATGACAGTGTGCATTCTCTCTCTCTCTCTCTCTTTTTTTTTTTTTTGTGGCTAGGCAGTGGGGTTAAGTGACTTGCCCAGGGTCACACAGCTAGTAAGTGTTATGTGTCTGAGGTTGGATTTGAACTCAGGTCCTCCTGAATCCAGGACTGGTGCTCTATCCACTACACCACCTAGCTGCCCCTACAGTGTGCATTCTCAGCACTATCCCAGCTCTGACAATCTGTGCTTTTGAGGCTACTCCTAGTCCTGACACTGTATATTCGAAGGGTTTTCCTGGCTCTGATATCCCTTGTTTAATCTTCCCTGAGGGCTAGGCTATTCTCTTCTCTATGCTTTCTCCCAGGTCTGACCTTCTACATGCTCAGATCCCACTGAATTGAATAACTGGTGTTCTCAAACCCTGACCTCCTCTCACTTCCCATGTTGTAAGGTGCCTCCCACTCTTGATATTCTAGCTCTGAAGGTGCCAAGCAGTTCAGGCGCTCTTGAATCTAAATTGCCTCCAAATTCAGATATTTTATCTTCTACATGTCCTCACTAGTCTGATATTCTGGCTGATAATTCAATGTCCAGTTCTGACATTCAGAGCCCAAATTGCCTTCCCAGGGCAGAAAGTCTCTACTCTTAGCTCTAGCCAACTTTGGCCAAGTCAGACATTCCATTTTGTAAAGATCTTCCCAACCATGTCATTTTATGTTCAAAATCCCTTCCCTACTCTGTTTTTTGCGTTTTATTATATTAAATTACATACAGGTCTCAGCACAATGATTTAAAACTGAAAACTTGTATCTCTTTTTAATTAACTTTTTTTCCAATAAATACTCCCTGGTAAAAATAATAGTTGTGTCTACAGCAGCCTTGACTCTTCAAAACACTGCATGAAATTACTTTTTTGGTCTGTTATTTTTTTCCTTTTCACTGTTTTATTTTGGACATATATTAACCTTTCTTCACTGGATGGGTTTGGAGCCATGATTTTTAATTTCAAGTATCACCACTGTGCTAATATAAATTATGGCTTGCTTAGTTCTGGCATCCCTTGTTCTATGTGCCTTCCCAGCTCTCACATATTCTATGGTTGATATTCTGTGTGCTAAGGTCCTACTGACTCAAACAATTTGTATTCCCAGGCTCAGTCCAACTGCCAATTTGTCTTCTATAGTCTCTTCTACCTCTGGTATTTCAGGTTCTAGAGTCTCATTCAACTCTGGGATTCTTGATTCTAGATTTCCTACAAGCTCAGATATATTGTGTTCTGTGTGGCATCCTAGGTCTCATATTCTGGTTTCTGTGTCAACTCCTAGTTCTGATATTCAGGCCTGGATCTGCTATCTCAGTGCTGAAATTCCCTATTCTAAACTCTAGCTAACTTCTAATATATTTTCTTGAAAGGTACCACAAGGACTAGATAGTCTATAGATATTTTATATTCTAAGGCTGCTCCTTCCTCTCAAAATCTAGGATTTTTTTATTATTTGGTTTTATTACATTATGTTACATATGTCTTAGCAAAATAATGATTTAAAATCACAAATGGTGTCCTTTTGAATCCTGTATACTTACCTTAGTTTTTTTTAAACAATAAATAGTCCCCATCATTAACAAGAAAATAGTAATATCAACAGCAGTTTTACCCCATGAAGTCACTGTATGGAATTACTTTTTTGATTTTTTTTACTTCACTTTTTGGTTTTGTTTTTAAGCCTGATCAGGTCCAGTGTATTCACCTTAGCTCTTTGTCTGTGGGGTTTAGCACCTGAGTTATAATTTCCAGCATCACCATTGTGCTGATGTAAGTTATGTTGAAATATATGTTATGTTTAATTCTATAAATATACTTTGCTATTTTTTATTTTCTTTAATTTACCTTTCACTCCAAATACCTTGCCCACTGAGCACCTAAATTCAAAAAATCAAATTCCTTCTCTGTTTTGATATTCTGTCTAAGGCCCTTCCCAGCCCTGACAATCTCTTCTCTATGGCTTCTCCCAGGCCCAATATTTTCTAGATTAACATCCCGCTGACTTGCATAATTTGTGTTCTCAGGTTCAGATCATCTCCTACTTTCTGAGATCTAAGGTCCCTCCAACCTTTGATATTCCAGGCTCCAGGGCCTCATCAAGTTCAGGCACTGGTGTTTCTAAATTTCCTCCAAGCTGGGCCATTTTATGTTCTAAGTGACCTCCCTGGCCTGATATTGGCTTCTATGTTGTCAATTTCAATTTCTGTCATACAGAACCCTGAGTGCCTTTCAAGCTCTCTAGCAGCCCCTATATTTCATCTTGAGAGACATATTCCAGTCCAGATACTATATGTTCTAAGGGCCCTCAAAGCTCTGGAATTCTATGATATAAGGCCATGCCCTAGTATGATAGTCTATTTTATTTTTGTTCTCACTTTCATTTTCTTTTATTTTATAACACTGAATGTCTCTTATCAATAAAATTATTTAAAAGCAAAAATGCGGTCCCTTTTAAATACTCTACTTAACACCTACCTTATTTGTTTCAAAAATACTCCCCATTCATTACCAATAATACAAATGCCAATAGCAGTCCTACCAAAACAAGACAGATCATGGAGTTAATTTTTTTTTAAACCAGATGAAGTGCTATATTTCACCTTTCCTTTTTGGGTGTGTGGTTCAGAATGAGTTTTAATTCAGAACAACGTCGCTGTACTTATATAAATGATGACTCTGATAATATGTGTTCTCAGGCTCTAGCCATCTCCCACTTTCTGTATTTAAGGCTCCCTTCTACCTCTGAAATCCCAGCTTCCTGGGCCCTGTCGAGCTCCAGCATATCTGCTTCTAAACTGCCTCCACACTCAGACAGTCCATGCTCTGCATCCCCTTCTAGATCTGATATCCTGGCTTCCATGTCAGTACCCAGTTCTGCCATTCAGACCCAGACTACCTTCCTAGGGCTGAAAGTCTCTTAAGTTCAACCCAATGTCTTATCCTGAAAGGCAACTCCAAGCTCAGCTATTCTGGCTTCTGAAGACCCTCCTTCCCTGATAGTTTACATTTCCTCTGATACTCTAGGGGTTTTAATCTTATCACTTACTTACTCAGTTTTATTATATTACATATCTATCTTAGCAATACAATGATTTAAAATCTTAAATGATGTTTCTTTAAAATCCTGTGTACTTACCTTATTTTTTTCAATATATATTCCACATTTATTAACAATAATATATCAACAGCAGTCTTACCCATCATGGCAATGCATGTAATTACTTTTTTTTTTCATTTTTTTTCTTTTCTTTTTTTTTTTTTGGAGCCAGATTAGACACTGTATGTTCAACTTTCTTCTTTGGCTGTGTGGTTCAGGACCTGAGTTTTAATTCAGAGTATCACAATTGTGCTGATAGAAATGATATTGAAATATATGTTGCATCTCATACCATAAATATACTTTGTATTTTTAATTTACCTGACCCTCCCAATACCTATGTCATAGGGTAAATTAAAAAAAAAAAACAACCCTCCTTCCCACATGACATTATGTGTTCTAAGGCCCTTTTCATGTCTCAAAATTTCTTTTCTATGAGCTCTGCCAGCCCTGAGATTCTGTGGTTTTAAGGCAGCTCCTAGTGCTGATATTCTGTAGGAGAATGACTTTCAGTTCTAAGATTCTCTTCTTCTAAGGGCCTTCCTAGCTCTGAAATTCATATCTCTATGACTATATGACTACTCCCAGCTCTGGCATTGGGTTTGCTAAGATCCTAATAACTTGGACAATTTGTATCTGCAGACTCTAACCATCTCCCACTTTCTGTGGTCTAAGGCAGTGGTGCCAAACTCAACAGAAATGAGGGCCACTCGTCTATACAGAAGGATCCCTAAGATTTTAAATGCAATGTTATCTATGTTTTACTGTATTTTTATTGATTTTGTTAAGTAGTTCCCAATTTCATTTTAATGTGGTTAAGGAAGCACTGGAAAGAGTTTTGTGGGCATGCCCAATGTTTGACATCTTCGGCCTAAAGGCCCTCCTAGCTTGGATATTCCAGGTTCCAGGGTCTCATTAGTTCAGGCATTCTTGAGTCTATATTTCCTCCAACTCCTGAAATTATGTGTTGTAAGCACCTGCTAGGTCTGATACTCTGGCCTCTCTGTCCACTCCCAGGCCTATCATTTTGAGCCCTAACTGCCCTCTCAGCTCTGAAGTTCTCCATTCTAAGCTCTCTGGCCTCATAAACTCAGGCACTCTAAGGCCCCTCCATTCCAGGCCTGGAATTCTATGTTCTTTGGCCACAGTTGGCTTTGACAGTTTAGGATATTTTTTCCTTTTCTATTATCTACTTATTTTTATTTTATTACATTGCACATGAGTCTTGTCAACATAATGATTTAAAAAGAAAATGCTATGCCTTTTAAATCCTATGCACTTACCACCTTGTTTCAATAAACATTCCCCATTCACTGCCAATAATAAGAACAGCGATAGCAGTCAGACCAGATTATTCCAATAGTATATTAGAATTGCTATTTCTGTCAAGGCTTTTTCAATGTTTTTTTCCTAATTAAGATAAGGCAATGAATGTCCTTTTACCCTTTTCCCTTTGACAACATGACTGAGGATCAGAATTGGAATTAGAGTACCATCGCTATGCTGATATAAATTATATCGAAACATATGTTGTATCTCATAACATATACTTGATTATTATTTAAATTTACCTGCCCTATCCTATAGCTCAGATCCCTGAGTACATCAACAAAACTCCTTCCTAAGGATGTTAGTGTGTATACTCAGGACCATTTCAAATTTGCCAATCTATGTTCTAAGAGCCTTCTAAGCCCTGCCCTTCTGTGGTGTTAAGGCCCCTCCTAGTTCTGACATTGTTTTCTATGGGCCTTCCTTCCTATCTGATGTGCCTTATTCAAGTGCCCTGCTGGCTCTGCTATCTTCTCTGCTGCTCCTCGCAAACCTGACATTCTGTGTGCTTCACTTCTTCAGAATCAGACAGTCTTATTCTCACACTCGAATGCTCTCTCACCTTCTGTATTTTAGGGTACCCCCCATGGTTGATGTTCTAGGTTCCAGATTCCCATCCAGCTCGGGCCTTTTTGATTCTAAATCTCCTCTGAGCTCATTCATTCTATGTTCTACATTCTATCCCAGGCCTAATGTTCTGGCTTTCCCAGCAGCTCCCTGTTTTGATGTTTAGAGTCTGAGCTGCCACTCCAGTTGGAGAATTCTATGTTCAGAATATTCTCCCACCTCCAGTTTATCCTCTTCAAAGGCATATCCACTGCCAGATATTCTATGTTCTCAAGGCCCTCTCTCCTATTTTGGGGTATTTTTACTTCTAACTTATTTGTTAAGTTTTCCTTTACTACATTATATGTATCTTAACAATACAATATTTAAAATCCCAAATGATGTCGCTTTCAAATCTTGCATACTTACCTTATGTTTTCCAATAAATACTCTCCATTCACTGGCACTAGGAATGCTGATAGCAGCCTAACTAGATCAAGGCAGTGCATAAATTATTTTTTTCAGGGCTGTTTGGTTGGGGTGGGAGTGAGGGGAAGGGCTGTTAAAGGCATTGTATTATCACTTTCCTCTTTGAATATGTATACCACCACCTGAGTTTTATTTCACAGTGGCACTGCTGTGCTGCTAGAAATTATACTGAAATAAACGTGCATCTCATACCATAAAGAGCATTTTTGTTGTCTTGTAAATTTACCTGCAACTCCCAATATCTTGGACCCCTGAGAATATCAACAAAACTTCTCCTGAGGGATGATACTGTATGCTCTCAGGCTCATTTCCAATCTACTAATCTGTGCTCTAAAAGCCCATCCTCTCCGCTCGGCCACTCATCCCACTTGGGTGACTTGGTGTTGGAAAGTGTCTCCTGGCTCTGATATCCCCAAGAGCCCCTACCTGCTCTGACATTCTCTTCCCCCTGGCTACTCCCAGGTCTAACATTCCATGAGCTCAGATCCCACTGGGTCAAACAATTTGGGTTCTAAACTCCCTCCCCTCTTCCATATTCCGGACTTGAGGCCCTTCCAGGTCAGGCACTCAATTTAAAATTGTCTCCAAGCTGAGACAGTCTCAGTGCCCTCCCAGATCAGAAATTCTGGCTTCTATTTAAACCTCCAACATTCAGAGTCATGACTACTGCCTCAGTGATGAAATTCTCTACTCTAAGTTCTATCCAGCTGCCAATATGTTCTCCTGAAAGGCCAGACATTCCATGTTCTAAAGACCCTCCCAGCCCTGATATTTTGGGTTCTAAGTCTCCTCCCTTTTTTGATAGTCAAGGGTTTTACCCCCTTTTTTCATTTATTGGTTCAGTTTTATAACTTTAGATACAAGTCTTAAAAATAAAATTATTTAAAATCCCAAATATTGTCCCACTTAAATCCTGTGAACTTACCTTATTTTTTTTTTCAATAAATACTCCCCATTCATTAAGAATAATAGGAATAGCGACAGCTGTCTTACCCTTCAAGGCACTGCATGGGATTACTTTTTTGTCGGGTTTTTTTCTTTTCTTTTTTTTTTTTTTTAGGGGGGGAGCCAGATTAGGCACAGTATGTTCACGTTTCCTCTTTGTGTGGTTCACGACCTGAGTTTTAATTCAAAGCATCACTATTGTGCTGATATAAATTATATTCAAATAAATGTTGCATCTCATGCCATAAAGATACTTTATCATTTTAAAAATTTACCTGTCCCTCATAATATCTTGCCCACTAAAGCATCTTGAAAAACAAAACCACCAAAACCTCTTTCCCATCAATGATGCCGTGTGTTCTAAGGACCAGCCCAGCTCAGATAATCTATGTCCTAAGAGCCCTCCCAGCTCAGACACTATGTTCCTCTTTCTGACATTGTGTTCTTAAGGCTTTCCTATATTCTAAAGGTTGTTCCAGCACTGACATTTGATGTTCTAAGGCCCTATCCTCCTCTGATATTCGAGGTTTTTTCCCTTTTCATTTAGTTATTTGGTTTTATTACATTACTTATGTGTCTTAACGGCAGAATGATTGAAAATCACAAATGGTATGTACCTTTTAAACCCTGTGTACTTACCTTATTTTTTTCAATAAATACTATTTAGTCACATAGTAATAACAGTAATAATCACAGCAATTTTTCTCATTTCTGCATGGAAATTATTTTTTTTCCCTTTTCTTTCCTACATTTTTTTGGAGGGGAGATCCTGAATAGGTTCTGTATGTTTACCTTTTTTCTTTGAGTGGTTCAGGACCTAAGTTTTCATTCAGGACATCATCATTTTGCTAATATAAATTATGTTGAACTATATATTGCCTCTTCTACCATAAATAAACTTCATTTTAAATTTTACCTGTCTCTCATAACACCTTGGTCACTGAGAATATTTAAAAAACCAAACTACACTTCCTTTTCAGATATGATGTTGTGTCTCCTAAGGCCCTTCCTACCGCTATTATTTTGTGATTTTAAGGTCATTGCTGGTTCTGAGCTCTCCCACCTCTGAGATTACTTGTTCTAAAGATCTAAGCACCTTTGACATTCTCTTCTCTATAGCTACTCCCAAACCTGCCGTTCTATGTTCTGAGGTCACAATGAATAGGACAACTTGTATCTTCAGGTTTGCCCATGTTTTGCTGTCTGTGTTCCATGGATCCCCCTCACATTTGATAACCAAGCTTGGGGGCCCCACTAGCACAGGCATTCTTGATTCTACAGTTGCTACAAGCTTGGATATTGTACGAACTCTTCCAGGACTGACAGAATGTCTTCCACACCCACTAAAAGTTCAGACATTCAGAGCCAGAACTGTTCTCTGAACTTTAATATTCTCTATTCTAAGTTCTCCTCTAAATCAATATCCCTTGAAAGGAACATCCAAGTCAAAACATTTTATGTATTAAGTATTCCCCTGGCCCTTACATTTTAAGTTCTAAGGCCCACACCCTCTTACAACATGCTAAGGTTTTTAATTTACTTATTTATTTTTCTCTCATTACACTGCATGTGGGTCTTAGCAAAAAACTGATAGCACCAATGGTCTCCTTTTTAAATATATCGTACTTACTACTTTATAGCAGTCAATAAGTACTCTTCATCTCTTACTAATAATAATAATAACATCACTAGCATTCTTACCTGATCAGGGTACTATGAAGAATCGTGTGTCTTGTCAGGAATTGTTTTTATTTCTGGAGCCACATATGAGACTGGATTTTAAATTTATACCTTTAAAGCTCTGTGGTCCAGGACCTGAGTTTTAATTCAGAGCATTGACACTGTCCAATATAAATTATATGGAAATAAATGTTGCATGCCTTGGCTAACTGATCGCTAAAAAAATAATCTCAAGGATGACATTGAGGTATAAGGTACCACCCAGCTCTGAAAATCTACTATGACCTCTCAACCCCTCAGGTCTGCCATTTTGTTTTTTAAAGTTCCTCCTAAGTCAAATATTCAACTTGCTACATGCTCTCCTGCTCTGCTATCCCTTGCTTTAGATGCCATCCCAGCACCGACATTCTCTTCTCTATGGCTACTTTCAATGTGCTATGGTCCTACTGCTTCAGCCCATTTGTGTTCTCAGGCTTAGCCTGTATCCCATTTTCTGTCTTCTAAAATCCCTTCTACCTCTAATGTTCCAGGTTTGAAGGCCCCATCCAGATCAGGCAGTCTGGATTCCCAATGTCCTCCAAGCTTAGATATTCATTTTATGTATCACATACTTTCTCAGGTCTGATATTTTGACTTCAATGTCTACTCCCAGTTGTGACATTCAAGGTCCAGACTGCCTTCCTTGTTTTGAAATTCTCTCTTCTATCTTCTCTCTCACCTCCAATAATATTCCTTGAAAAGTATCTCCCAAGGACTTTCTCCGTGCTAAGGCCCCTCCCAGCTTCGAAAGTTTTCGTTCTAAGAGCCATCTCAGCTCTGTCATACTGTTCTAAACTCTGACATTCCCTGTTCTAAGGTCTCTCCCAGCTCTGACGTTGTCTGTTCTCTGATCCCATCCTCCTATGATTTTTGTTTTTCTCTGATTACACTGCATGTGGGACTAATGAAACAATAAGTGACAATACAAATGGTTTCTCTTTGAAATGGACTGAACTTAATATCTTATAGTAGTCAATAAATACTCTCCATTTATTGTCAATAGCAGTAATCTCAGTATCAGTGTTAACTGATCAAGGAATCACTTGGTTTTCTGGGGAAGTTTTTTGTTTTGTTTTTTTTTTAGTTTCATAAGGGAATAAACATTTATATAGTGCCTACTATGCATTATATTAACACTTTTACAAATATTATCTCATTTGATCCTCAAAACAATTCTTTGAGGTAGGTGCTATTATTATCCCCATTTTACAATTGAGGAAACTGAGTCAAAGTGAGATCATGTGACTTGCCAAGGATCACAGAAATAGTTAAATATCTGGGGGCGAATTGGAACTCAGGTCTTCCTGATTCCTTGATTTAGACCATCACCACTACCCTAACATAAATGATATGGAAATAAATGTTCCATTTCAAACCACAAATATCTATTGTCACTGGGTTTTCAACTGAATTGTCCCTTTCCGTGTCTTAGCCCACTGAGTACATAAAAACCCCATCTTCTCAGCATGGCTCTTCTCAGCTCTAAAGATCCAGATTCTATGACCCTGCCTGAGCTCTGATATTCTGTTGTTGGTTTTTTAAGATATCTTCCAGGTTAGACACTGTGGGTTCTATGGCTACTCTCAGGCCTGAAATCCTCTGTGCTAAGATCCCACTGTCTCTAAATTCTCACCATCTCCTACTTTCTGTGCTCTAAGGCACCTCCCACCTCTGATATTACAGATTCCAGAGTCCTATTCAACATTTTTCATTCTACATTTCTTGCCAACTCAAATACTGTGTACCACATATACTTCCAGGTCTCATATTCTGGCTTCAGTGTTCATTCTCAGTTCTGCTCAGCCAGCTCTCATACTCTATATTCTAAACCCTCCTCTAGCTACAACATTTTTCTTCAATAACACTTCAAGGCCAAAACTAATATCTCTGATAGTATATGGTCAAAGGCAACACCCTATCCTAATATTTTAGAATTTTCACTTATGCATTTAATTTTATCTTATTAAACAGATTATGCCTCAGCAATACAGTGATTTAAAAAGAGAGGAGAAAGGGAAAGGAATAATCATTTATATGGTGCCTACTACATGCCAGGCACTGTGCTAGTGCACTAAATATATTATCTTATTTTTATTCTCACAACAACCCTATGATGTAAGTGCTGTTATTACTGGCATTTTACAGTTGAGAAAACTGATATTAATTAACTAATTAAGAGGTTAATTAATTCAGTGTATGGCCAAGTGTATCAGACAGTCACCAGTCTCCTGATATAAATTATATGGAAACACATTTTCTATTTCAAGCCACAAATATCTTTTGTTACTGAGTTTTCCATTAGACTATCCCTTTCCATGCCTTCGGCCACTGAATATGTTACAAAAACCTATCTTCTCAATGATAATGTTGAGAGTTCCAAGGCACCTCCCAGCTCTGAAGATCTATGTTCTACGACACCTCACATGAGGCTCACAATATCTGAAGTGCAGCCAAATCAGATTAAAATGTAAATGTGGAAATTTGAAAATATGCAAAAATGGAAATATTCAACAAAATAAATAAAAATACAATAAAACATAAATAACATTACATTTTAAAACTAAGTCAATATTTAGTCTGCAGGGGTTCCTTATGTCCAGTTTTATGGCTCTCCTTAATATGTGAGTTTGACACCACCTGCTCTAAAATTCTACATTTTTCTTTTCATTTCTGTATTTCTTTTTGTCTTAATGAACTTTATATGTCTGTCTAAGACACTGATTTAAAAGTGGAAATATCGTATCTTTTAAATATAATGGTGTTGTTTATCCTTCATGCTTAAAGGACCAAAAAGAAAAAGAACATCATGATGTCGGGGTGGCTGATCACACTAATACAGGTCGGGTACAAACAGTCTGTATGACCATTTAGGAGGGAGATGTCTCGAAATTTGTGCATCTTACATTTCTTTTGAGTTACCATAATTCTACTTTGCTCATATTGCACAGCACTTTCTAGTCCTCATACTCTACCACTAGCAGTATTATCACTTCAAGAAATCAATTTTTTTTCTAATTTTTGAGAAAGATAAGACCCTATATCTTAACTATTCCACCTTCCTGATATGGGTGGGGAACTGAGTTGTAACTCACAGCATCACTGATGTGTTAATCTAAATCATACTGAAATAACTGTCAGAATTCTTACCATAAATAAACTGTTTTTGTTTTTAATTCCCCTTATACTCCCCGTGTGTTGTCCACTGAGCACACAAAAATGAAGTCCTTCTCAACTGTGATTCTCTGAATTCTAAGGCCCACGTCAACTCAGGAAATCAGTGTTCTAGGTCCTCTCTCAGCTTGAACATTATGTGATTTTCAGGCTCTTTTTAAGGGCCCTCCTGGGTCTGACATTCTTTTCTCTGTGGCTACTATCAGGCTTCCTAGTCTGTGTGCTAAGGTGCCAATGGCTCAGACCATTTTTCTTCTCTGCTTCTGTCCATTTCCCACTTTC